GTTGTGATTCGCATACATTACAGTGGAATCCTCTCAGGCTGCGGTCACACTCAGTACAATGAAAAACTAGTCGCCAGTGCTGGCGATGCGTGGTCCAAGTTCTGTCAAAGAGAGAAAACGATGTATGGGCTGCTTGAATTCGGTTCTTTGAACGGCATCAATTTTCCGTCGTCATTCCCTTCTCCACAGATGGTTTCATGACCACAGTTACCCCGCCGATTCCGAATTTCCACAAGTGATAAGTGGCTCGCTCGTTCTGGGTCTTCTCCCACTGAGGATGCCCATTGCGTCCCACTATATGTTCTTTGGCACCTTACGATCCTGACAGTTGCTGTCCCTTATCTGCCTGCTCCCTTTCCTGTCGCGACAGAGGCAGGACAGGTTCGAGCGACCGCATAGCAGCTGCTAGTCTACCCTGTGTTGCGCAGCCCGAGCAACTGTTCCAACAATCTGCGCGAAGGGGCGATAACGGCGCACGTTCACGCAGCGAGTTGGCGCGGGAACTGAGCGTGCGGCGCGGGCGGGCGGGGCGACGATGGTGGCCGTCCGTCGCCGGGGCAGCGCATTCTATCGATTTCACCGTACGACACGGTCGGTCGCCAGCTCACTATCGTGCGTCATCTCCCGACTTATCGGACTTACTCAGCATGCAGTTTTCGTTCAGTCATTGTTCGGTTCTCTCTAGTGCGCACAGGTTTAGCTCTACATACTTCTGCGCTAGATCAGTATGGGTGGGTTTGATGCAATGTTCGTGCGGATTACGGTAGTCTGAACTTTGCGCAGAGCTTTCTCGAATACTGAAGTTCATTGTCATGCTATTTCTTTGATTTCTGGCCCGTATTAATGGTTGTTTGCTTATTCTTATCTCTTTGTGGGTTCACATTCCACAGTCGCATTCAGCGCTTGAGTAATTCCAGACCCAGCTACTCGCTCAGATACTGCCTTGTTATTCCTGCGTTCTCGTGCAACCCTTGCCACTTTCAGGGATTCTGACCCTTTTTAGTCCTCTGTTTCGCCACATTGTCACCCTGTTGCCCCTTGGCCAAGGGCTACCCTTCACTCTTATGTGGTGGACCACACTTGTAGCTGTGAACCGATAAACAAACGCTGCGGGTTGCTAAACGGTTAGCTGTCGTTGGCGGCAGCGACGACAGGCGATCTTGTCTCGCTCGTGCTGTCTTTAGCACGCTTTCACTCTCCCGCTGTCGAACTCGTTCGCTCGCGCTCTCTCGCTTTTGTCGCATTGAACACTGCCGCCGGCAGATGGCGAATCAATCGGTCTCTATGTTGCCCAGAATAACTAGACCTCTACTATGGCTCAGCCAAGGGCGAGCAATAACGACGACGCCCGAATGCCTGCTGAATGAACTACTTTGCTTTGGGTCTTGCGGTTGTTTATAGCGCCACCCGCTAGCGCTTGGGTAGCTCCTAGCTAGTAGACAGGCATGCTCAGACGGAAGTCCGTCATGAGCCGAAATTTGTTCCACTGCCCCTCGGCGACAAGCTTTGGGATGTAGGTTGACCCCCTTGATCCGCTGGTGGATTGATCTTTCAGCAGACCAGTCGCCCCATATTGAATCCAAATGCTACCTTATTTCTTCCTGAGTCTATTTGGCTTTGGCTGGACGAGTTTTTTTCGCTGGCAGCTTTTTCCGCTGGAGCTGACCCTCTCAGGTCTACGGACAACTTGAACTCAATCCCTTCGGGCGCGTCGATCTTCTCTTTTTCCTCTGCACTCTCTCGTCCGCATGGCACTCTATGGCCGTTGTGACTCTTTCGCTTACCTGCGGAGTCACCTCTTCCCCTTTGAAAATCCCGTTCCTGGCTCGCCATACGTTTTTTGCACGTTTCGATGCTTTGGTAGCGCTGCCCTCTGTCCGTCTGCGTCACAGGGTTTCGTAACAGGACCACGCAAAAAAGTTGGCGCAGTGGAAAGGTGGTGTTGACTACGCGCATGGACGATACTGGCTACAAGGAATTGGAAATAGCGCTGGAAAAGCACAAGACAAGCTACTGTTCACCGGCTGAAGTTGAAAAGTTAACCCTCTGGTACTCAATTACATTGCCTAGCAACCACGTTTAATGACCTCTATGGTCTCGGCATGAGAACCTAGATTCGCAGGTTTGAACAGCCTCCGGCATTAGTCCTTGAAATCCATCGTACTTGTAAGGTTGGCATATGGTCCCCAGTCCATCCCTTCCGCGATGCGTCGAAAAACTAGCGGCCTGTAGAGATGGGCAAACTCGATTGCTTCGTCGCACCCCCTTTTTATACCTGGAAAAATCCCGTACAGCCAGTGTGGATCAGTTTTAGATCGTCCCCTCTTAGCCGTGGCCCGTCGCGCCGTTCTTTATTGATTGACTGAAGGTTGAGGACTTCTTTTACATATTTTTCAGTGCTTTGTTCTTCTAAGCATGGAGTGTCAGAACTATTAAGTGACCTACTACTTTTTTTGGTCGCTGTTCGGCTTGGGAGGGGCTTGAGAGGAGAGGGCGTCTTCTATGGCCAATTTTCTTAGTTCCTGCTAGATTTCGGGTCATGTTGGTGGGACCTGTAGACTTCTGTCAAGCATAGGTGAAGCTCCTGCTACTGCACAGCTCAACAGGAATCTGAAGGTTTTCATAGGTATCGGCAGTGATCAATGGGAAATCCCGATGTGCGCCTTTTTTGTGATAAAGTGTGTTTAAAAAAATCTTGCCTATGCATAAATTTCCATCAACATCGGCCTGCTCGATCGGTCAGTGAGACATCTCTAGCTTTACTTGATCCATTTTACGTTTAAAAACTATTTAAGGCGGTTAAAACAAGTCACGTGAGTGTTTACAACTTTCCACCATCAACCCCTCATAATTGCAAAAGTCAGCCCACGGCCGGGATCGAACCGACAATCTTCTGATTAGAAGTCAGACGCCTTATCCATTAGGCCACGCGGGCTACGGTGAGGGTGGCTCGCAGAACCGTTCAAAACACCGAATGAATTTTGTCACAGCTGGATGCAGAAGTTGATGAATTTGTAAAAAGCATATGGAAATAATATTGCCGACACCGGTATCACCAATTCTCTCTTACAAACAGACTACAGTCTCGGTAATGCGAAGGAGGCGTCTATTAAAACAGTATAAGGCATTTTAGTGCACTAGTTCGCCGGATTATTCTGATTCCAGTTCTGAACAATGGGTTTCTTAAAGCCAGAAATGTTAAGCGCTCCGTTTCTAGCCCACTTCTTCGATTTTCTTTGCATAGGTTTATTATACCATTTGGTGCAGTAGTTCGTCAGATAGCCTGTTTGGCCATTTTGCTCAATGAGCCTTTTGAAACTGTGAGCTTTGTTGCTAAGCCGCTCCTCCGGGTTGTTTTGAAATATCAGGTGACATTCAGTTCTGAAGGTTGCGAAGAGGCAAATGTGAGGAAGGGATTGAGGATTTTTGTAAAGCCAGCTAGTAAAGATTTCGAAAGCACAGTAAATTCTTCGTGAATGAACCAGTTCGGAATTTTTATGGACATTGTGTACACTCGAAATCCCTGAGATGCGGTAGACGTGGCTGCGTACTTCAACTAAACGTGGCGGCGGCCGTTGGTGTGATATTTTCATTCGAGCACAATTGGGTCATGTATTTGTCCCGCATAGAACTAAACACAATTGTCTCAAACTGGAATATCCACACGAGATACACATCCCATGCCATTAAAAGAAGAACAAAAATTCGGAAGGAGCTATGCAAAGCGGACACTGGCCCCTCTGATAGTTGTGATTACACCACTTGCGCGCCACCGCGCGCTACCGTATCCTACGCCTAAAAATAAATATTTTTCAAGGCTCTAATCAATCATTTCTTTCCTGTTCGTGATTTGTTTTCATTTCTAAACCTAATGATCTCGAGTGTAATGATAGACAATGCAAGGGAAATGAAGGAAACCACTCAGACAGTTGAGGTATCAAGGCATCCAAAATCTCGAGATGACTTGAACATTCGTGAAACCCTTAAGGAGGTTAAAGTCTTTTTACAGCTCTGTTGTTATGAAACAAAGGTCGGTCCCATTGTCTCATACGAAGCCATAACTAGAGGCTCTGCGATGTTCCACCGACAGGGAAGCACGTCGCACGCAGACTCAGCACAGAGGTGCTGTTTCGCAGTAGAGCGGGAGCCAATTGAACAGAGGTGCTGTTTCGCAGTAGAGTGGGAGCAAATGAGTTTTGCCCAGGCACTCACAGCTGCTCTCGAGACCCTTCCATTCCGACGAATTCATCATGACCCTGGAAGAGGACACGTGGGGAGTAGCGTTTAATTCGCAGCAGCAGATCCCATGAGCAGAAAACAAGCTAGCTATATATGTTTGCAAGCTTATAAGCTTTCCCTCTCTTTCGATGTGTGCTTGTATGTTCAGTAGCTCTTACCCGTTCCTACTTGACTTCATGTAATCATTTTTCCTTCGTCTGAAGACAAGTGACATCATAAATCCCCTAGATGTGCAAGATGAACACGCCTAGTAGGATAGAGTTGTACTCCGGATTTCGCCTTTTCGACAGAGGGTACACTACCCACCTACCGCGCCTCCCCGCCCACAATGCTCACAGCAGTTCAACTTCAACGTACGACATAAAGCGAACGGATTGATATGAACCAGCTCCAGTGCTGCATAGATCTACCAAAACGATTCTCGACGATTCCAAAAGCAGGACTTGTCCAAAATTGCTTTGTGAGACGTGTAGAACGAAGATGTTTCACTTCACTTTTGCGCTATTTTGATCATGCCGTCCGCGCAACCGTTTAACTTTTTTGCTTATCCGCTTGACTACAATATATTCTGCCTTTGTTATTACTCGAGCGTCCTCTTTAATATACAAAAGTGAAACCTTTATTTATCCACTGGGAGTTAGCAGTTAAGCACGACAACCGAATATCAAACTTTACAGGCTGAAAAATCTCATGAGCGAGAGCCAACATAAATCAAGAATTCGTTTCAATTGACAAACAGACTCATTGATGGTCAAAAATATTCAACGTCTTCGTAACGCGACTTGCTTACCACGACAGCGATTTGATAACAACATCTAAAAAAAGATAAATAAAAACACATAACAAATATTAATCTTGAAAGTTAACTTTGCCTCAACACATCATTGGGGCGGAGCAGCACTTGACAGCAGATGGGAAAAAACCCGCTGTCGACGACATGACCAAAAGAACTGAAAAGGAAAAATGAATTAAGAGTCAATATTTATTTCATATTCCGCAACTAACGTTGTTAATCTTTATCTGCAATCGCCAACAACAATAATAAAAGAAAACAAGTAAATCCATAGTTTATCAAAATCCTACAAGTGGAAAGATTAAGGAAGAGCCAAGCTTTCGAAACGGGTCACCTTCTTGCTTGTTCTACAGGGGTGGGCGCGGATGTTGAGTTTTCTGTGTGTGCCACTACATGACCAAGAGTACGTCGTGCGCCTGAACGGAACTATATAAACTAGTCCGGGCAATAGAAGTGACTAGGGGAAGCAGGGAGACCACTTACCTGCACGTGGCGGAACAGACATTCGTTACGGTCCGGTTCGGTGGAGTTCATTTCGAGAATAGCACTGTGGGATGTCACATTCCCAACATGTGCCACTCTGTCGCTAAACATACGAGCACCTGAACAAAGAAATACACAAATTCACAACTTGGAGAAGAAAATGATGGTAAAAGGCTCTAAAATGATGGAGTGATGTGGATGCACTATGAACCTGTAGTGCTTCGTGCCAGCAGGAACATCGACTGGATCCTTGGAGAGTGGCGAAGCTCATTAATGAGAACAATTGTTCCACCTTCAAGTCCCACCTACAATTTTGTCATTTAATGAAGAATATAGAAATTGTGACATGAAAAAGTGAAAATGCTGCTCCCAACAGCAAACTAAACAGAGCGCAATGAGGCAGAACAAAGAAAAATGAGAAAATCACGAATAGGAACGAGAAAATGAAAAAAAATCACGAATAGGGAAGAGAAAAATGAAAACAAATCACGAACAGGAAAGAAATGATTGATTAGAGCCCTGGAAAATATTTATTTTTAGGCGTGGGATACGGTAGCGCGCAGTAGCGCGCAAGTGGTGTAATCACAACTATCAGAGGGGCCAGTGTCCGCTTTGCATAGCTCAAATCGGTGAAGTTAGCGGTGCTAACGTATTTGGGGGGGGGGGGGACCACGCGGCTCGCGGCGAGTGATGACTCATCGGCTCTTCACTCATCGGCATACTTGAAACGCGAATCTAGCAGTCAAATTAGAATAAAACAAACAAGGTTCACCGGGAACTTGCTGAGAAATCCCACGGGAGCTGAAAACAAATGTTTGATCTTTTGTAGTCAACAATAACAGTCAACAACAAACAAGCAACAGGATTTTGTAGTTGATTCAAAAATCTTCCAGCCCACAACTGTTTCTTAGGACTTTTTAGCGTTACTGTATTAATATAGCTAGGTCGGTGGTGTATTGGGTTGGCACATAAGTACTTTCGTTTTTTTTCAACCGGAAATTTCGTTCCAAAGATGAAATGTTTTGCTAGCAAGCTTGATATCATCTGATAGGAAACTTCACGTAGTTTTAGAATATCAAAACGGCTTCGGTTGAGGGAATAAATTTTGTGGATTTTTTAGTCGTTGAAGTTGAAAGCGAAGTCGGCGAAAATTAGCACCTTCGACAACTGCCTCTATTTACGTCTACTCGAAGTGCTAAAATCGCTTAAGCTGCTCCATACATTTGGAAAAGGTCGAGCTAGAAGTTCCAGCAAGGGAATCTCACTAGGACGCTTTGGAACGAATTTCAAGAATTTTGAAGTTACCAACCTTCACCTCGCCATATTGGGCAGGGCTCACGTCTGTTCCACCTAAAATTTTATGCTAATATTTGAATGTTTCGCTGATATGTTTTGCATGTTCTGATAGCAAATTTCGTGCTCTATAACACTGCTATAGAAGTCTGTTCTCCAGAGGTGTTTGCTTTCTGGCGCTCAAGTTCAGTTATCATTACGGAACGCGAAGTCGTTGAGAACTAGCGTTCCCGTTCTCCACGAATTTTATGCTAACATTTGAATGTTTCGCTAATGTGTTCTATATGTTCTGATAGCCAATTTCGTGCTCTATAACATAACATAAAAATCAGTTCTCCGGAGCTGTTTACTTTCTGTTAAGTTCAGGTTATCTTTACGGAACGTGAGGTCGATGAGAATTAGAGTTCCCGACTTCCTCTCTCAACCGCTGTCCACTGAAGCTTCAAAGCTCCTAGAGCAGCTCAATAGAATCGCCATGGTTTGAGTAAGGCTAGAGCTAAAACAGATTAGTGTCAGGGACATGCTCTCTACGCGAATTTCCCGAGCAGCATCAGCAGCTCTGATACCTCTGTTGAATGCGAAAAGGAGGAGATGTCTGAAGTGCTGATGCTTATCGACCTGACATTCCATATTATCCACCTGAAAAACAAGGTTCATCAAACGGATTTTCAAAATAACTGCAACGCAGTGTTATAGAGCACGAAATTGGCTATCAGAACATATAGAACACATTAGCGAAACATTCAAATGTTAGCATAAAATTCGTGGAGAACGGAACCCTAGTTCTCAACGAGTCTTCGGTTCCCGTAATTGAATAACTCTGAACTTGACAGAAGCAAACACCTCAGAGACAGATTTTCATATAGCGTGTTAATAGATCCGAAATTGCTAAAACGAACATGCAGAACATATCCAGTGAACATTCAAAAATTTTAGCATAAAATTTCAGGTGGACAGACGTGAGCTGCCCAATATCGGCGAGGTGAAGGTTGGTAACTTCAAAATTCTTGAAATTCGTTCCAAAGCGTCCTTTTTTTTATGAGATTTCCCTTGCTGGAACTTCTAGCTCGACCTTTTCCAAATGTATGGAGCAGCTTAAGCGATTTTAGCACTTCGAGTAGACGTAAATAGAGGCAGTTGTCGAAGGTGCTAATTTTCGCCGACTTCGCTTTCAACTTCAACGACTAAAAAATCCACAAAAAATTATTCCCTCAACCGAAGCCGTTTTGATATTCCAAAACTACGTGAAGTTTCCTATCAGATGATATCAAGCTTGCTAGCAAAACATTTCATCTTTGGAACGAAATTTCCGGTTGAAAAAAAACGAAAGTACTTATGTGCCAACCCAATACATCCATCGTCCTAAAACACAAATTACTTACTATTTTTTCGAGCAAAGAGCCAGATGAGTCATCGCACGCGCGAGCCGGCGTGGTCCCCCCCCAAATACGGTGGCCGAAGTTAGAGATATGTATAGAAAAGGAGTTGAGGTGGTTCGTTTCGCCTCCTATCCATACGAACCACTTTCTACCCCCGAGGCTCGCTCATCAGTAGATGTCCAAATGCCACGCCTACTCCATTTCGGGGTCAGTAGTGTGTGTCACTGAAATCTTCTTGAATCAACGCTATAGAAGATGTACTGGCGTAGTTAGGTAGGGGGCACTGGCTTTGCCTTCATATCCCCTTCCCAAAAGTTTTAGGCCCAAACGCAAATGACCAAAGACGCAAAGAAACCGTGGCCTTCACTGAGCCTCAGCCTCGATAGAGGCGCCGACCATTGTCTTGAATTAGTTAGGCGCGTTCATAATTTGTGTCAGCATTTAAGCGCATGGCAGCGTTTTGAGCGACTAAGAATATGAAGGTATCGATCTAGCGTACACACGCGTATTTAGCGGGCTGGGAAAGTATGGATATCGATCGTAGCGTTTCGAGCGTTTTTGCTGATGGTTTGAATTTTCGCGGGCAGTCGCTTAACACGCTGGCGCACGCTAGATCGATACCTATACTTTCCTAGTCACTTAGTCATATGTTCGAAACGCTGCCGTACGCTAAGAACGCTGACGCAAAGTATGAACGCAGCTCAAAGAAAACGAATCAATAACGTTGTTGTAGCACGTAGGAAGATGCGGAGCTTTTTCATAGAGTGTCGGATATGAGATCACTTTTGCTACTTCTTTTGCTGCTTCTGCCGTTTTTTTTCTCGTTTTGCTACATATTTTACTGAAATAGAGGTTTCCAGGCAATCGCTCACCAATGAGCTATCCAGCGAAAATTCTTCTTATAAAATTAGTGCAACAGCACGAATCCCTATGGGACACCAGGTCACCGGACTATACTCGTACAGACGTGAAGATCCGTGCATGGAATGAAATTTCGCAACGAATGGCCGCGAAAGGATACGAATCACAAAGGTAATGTGACATTCATACAGCCGTTAGATAATCGAGTTGAGATAAAAATGAATTTTTCAGTTGGTAGACTGAAGGTTATGTGGAAGAACCTTCGAGATCAGTGGAAACGAAACATAGCTCTGAAGGTACCACCCGAAAGAGAGTGGTATTTCCAGCGTCGTATCAACTTTCTCGCAGACACCTATGAAGGAGGGTGAGTCGTTCAGCTCACAGTTGCTTACCATCAAAGCTAGCTATGTTGGGCTTACTCACCGTAAATGATAGGGAAAGCTAGTCAGCTGGTCATTTCGTAGGCGTCCTCCGTAGTACAAGTACTCTGGCCCACATTCTCTAAGATTGCCCTGTTTCGCGGCTCCGCACTAGGTAAGAAGGCGGTCTTCATAGCTGGCAGTGCTAACGCCTCCCTAGTTGTCCCGCCCACTGACATTCAAAGTCTATCTTCTGTCACGAGTTCAGCTGTATTTTTCGTATCACTCAGGATATCGTTTTGCTGTTATAGAAAGAGCGGGCCCCAAGAAGTCGTACAGTAAGGCTGCCAGGGGTCTTTACTCAGGGTGTTCTCCATGATTTTTTTTTGTTAGACGACTAGTTTTAGTAATTGAGCACCGCTATCGACAATGTGCAACTGCGGGGTTTGCCTTTAAGCCTTGGGTCTTCTGCAGCTACGCTACAAGCAACCATACACCGATATCACAATATATTTGGTCAGAAAATCCCATTTTGGATGGTGCGGGCCCAACGTTCACTTTGAAAGTCTCAA